CATTCAGTCGACCCCCTTATGTTTATTAGGTTCTAATTACGCTTAAAAAGACTAAACTGCCCACACTTAAGTGTGGGGCAGAGTGCTCTAATAAAACAGCCACATAAGCAAAGTACTTAACTGACATGAGATTACTAAACTACCCCTATTCGGCTCACTCTAACACTCCATAAGTCGTTTGTTGTTTCTGATGTCACCTTCTTTGAGAGTCTTCCTTTTCTAGACAGGAACCCTCCCCCTCTATTCCTCTCCCATCTGCTTCAGGTGATGTGTTTGTCCCTCTTCCCACTATTGAGGATCCCATTTGGCCATCAATTCACAATGTACATCAGACGTGCTCGAGAGCTTGCACCAATTTCTACATTGGCTCAAACTCTATCTTCATTTATCTACTGCCCGTCAAAAATTTGTGTCTCTTCTGTCTTCTATATCTGTCCCTAGGTCTGTTCAAGAAGCTCTTGCCTCACCTAATTGGAAGAAAGCAATGGATGATGAATTTCAAGCTCTCCAGTCTAACCACACATGGGATCTTACTCTCTTACCCCCTGGGAATTGGTTGTAGGTGGGTGTATATGATCAAGCATAGACAAGATGGTAACATTGAGAGGCTCAAAGCCTATCTGGTGGCAAAAGGCTATACATAGACCTACGGTGTTGATTACTCTAAGAACTTCTCTCCAGTGTCTAAGTAGTCATCTATACGGGTTATTATTTCTCTTGCTGTCCACTTTGATTGACCCTCGTAGCAGCTTGATGTAAAGAATACTTTTCTTAATGGTGATCTTTAAGAGGTATACATGGAGCAACCTCCTAGTTTGTTGCTCAGTACAACCTCCCCCTTCATATCACTCATCCTGATATGTCCTTTAGTGTAGGGGTTTTGAGTCAGTTCATGCAGAATTCCACAAACATTAACTAGGAAGGTGCTGTAAGAGTATTAAGATACCTAAAAGGTGCTCCTGGCCGGGTATGGCCCACACCACCTGTGAATTGATATGGCCAAAACATCTCCTTCAAGATATTGGTATTTTTATAGGGAAAGCCTATCAAGTTGTTTTATAGTTGACTATCATTTTGTAATTGAAAAGGTAACAAATGGTGATATTGTAACTCCTTATGTCAAGTCAGAAGAACAGTTGACAGACTTGTTTACAAAGAGTTTGTACCATACCAGGATGGATTATATTTGTAACAAGTTAGAGTTCTATGATATATATGCTCCAACTTGAGGGGGAGTGTTGAAATGTTTGCCCACAGGGGCATTTTAGTCTCTTGCTGTAATCTGGTATTTCCCCTGTTAAGAATCACTTAGAAGGGGCATCTTTGTAATTTCCCCATATTATAATGAATAGAACTACAGTGCAGATCGATTGGAAGGAGATTGGAAGGAGAATACAGTTCGTATCCCTTTTCTTCTTCCTTTCACTTTTCTTTTGCTTTCTACCATTTAAGACAGGTTTCCCAACCTTTTTCTTCCTTTTTCCTCTTCTTTTTCTCCTTTATTCACAAATTTTAATAAAGTACATAGTCACATATTTGTATAGCTTTTCATTCTATAATGTATGTGTTAGTAAGTGTTCATCCAGTATTTGGTATGGTGTAGGGTACACCACCAAATATATTATGTCTCTAGGCATCACAAGGCACAATTTAGGTCCTTTCTCAAGCAAAAAGAAGTTACTTAAAATAGTCTGAAAGTAAGCACAAGTTCCAAAATGTGGATTCAACAAATTGTGAAACTGTAAAGTAGCAATTAGCAATTATCTACATTCCACCATCCATAATAAGTTAATACTCGACTCAACTAAGCCTTATCCCAACTATATGAGGTCAGTTCCATGAATCTTGTTCATCATGCTGGTCTGTTAAGTGCATGCACAATTAAGTTAATAGCAATATAAAAATAAGAGTCCAGTTCATAATACCCTTAAACACGTATAATAATAATTCAACACATATGCATATGGAAATACAATAATTCAACAAAAAATCCGGCCTACACCCATAAATGTGTTGAGCATCTTCTTAATGGTTGGTTGTCCCTTAGAAATGGATGCAAGGTTGCCAGCAGGAGCCTAGGTCTGCTGCAACAAGATGGTGAAACAGTTGATGGCATATCAACTCAGAGATAAACACGCCAACATGGAAGACTAAAAGAACAAATTTGGCTGATGTATTTTGTTTCTGATTTGGTGTACCAGAAAATCTTACACCATATTGTTCCAGTAGATCTGGACTTGTGTTGTGGGGCTGATCCCTGCTATGCCTTTTATGAAAGACTAGTTTACTGCAAGCAATAAGGAAACCATGAGGACCCTTTCAGGTTACATTCATTAAGTCACTGTGCTCCAGGGTATTATGGTTGAGTGGTCTTGCCATGAACAGATCACAACAAATATAAATGCTGATCGAGTGGTTGTCCATTGGGTAGTTGCCAAATTACCATGACATATGTAATTCATATTTACTGGGTGAAAGATATCAGAGAAACAGAGGAAAGAGAAGAAGAGAGAGAAGAGAGGAGAGAAGAGAGAAAGAAGAGTTTTGGGGGGTCTAAACCTAAGGCTGGCAGCTCCAACTTTTGTATTTATATTAGGGCGACCCAACTTAATAATAAAAGAGAAGAAAAGTACAAATATGCCCCTGTGACACAAAGAATAGAAAAAATAACATAAAAACTAACTGATTTTAACATTCCCCCTCAAGTTGGGACATAGATGTCAATCATGCCCAACTTGTCACATTAGTCATTGTGTTGCAAATGATGTAATCCCTTTGTAAAAATGTCTACAAGTTGATCCTTGGAACTAACATATGGAGTGCACACTTCCCCATTCATAATTTTCTCCCTAATAAAAGTGTTTCTCGACTTCAATATGTTTAGTTCCATCATGAAGAACTGGGTTGGCTGCAATATTGATGGCAGCCTTGTTATCACAATACAAGGACATGGGACTCAACAGGAAAACCTAGCTCACTCAATAGATTCTTTATCTACATAACTTCAACACTTCATCAGACATTGCCCTATACTTAGTTTCTCCATGTGACTAGGTTCCCTCCCACATAGGTACAATACCCACTAGTGGACTTTCTATCATCAACTGATCCGGCCCAATCAGCATATGTGTACACTTCAACCTTCAAACGTGCATTCTTCTGGAATAGTAAACCAGTCCTTGAAAACTTCTTTAGATACCCAATGATTCTCTCAGTTGCCTCGAAGTGTGTGGTCTTAGGAGCATGCATGAATTGACTAAGAACACCCACAGCATAAGCAATGTCAGGTTGGGTCATGGACAAATATAATAGTCTTCCCACAAGTCTCTAGAATTGCTTTACATCCTTGATAGTCTCACCATGGCAATCACCTAGTATGTGGTTTGGATTAATGGGAGAGTCAACAGGCTTAACCCGGAGATTTCATGTATCTTGTAGTAGATCTAGGATGTATTTTCTTTGAGAAATGAAGATCCCCTTTTGTGAATGGGCCACTTCAATTCCAAGAAAATACTTCAAGAGACTTAGATCCTTCACCTCAAATTAAGTGGCTAGGAACTCCTTTAGTTTCTAAATTTCAACCTTCCAATCACCTGTGATCACTATGTCATCAACATACACTATGAGGGCTGCAATTTTTCCTTCTCTTTTCACAAATAATGTATAATCAGTCTGACACTGTTTGTAGTAAATCTACTGCACAGCCAGACGAAACTTGTTGAACCAAGCTCTTGGTGATTGTTTTAGTCCATACAAGGACTACACGATTCACAAAAAAAGGTAAAAACGCCTTCACAGCATCAAACTTCCCTCTAATTGTTTATCAGCACACGACCAGGAGAGAAGGGAAGAAAGAACATAGAAACCTTCAGATCAGTCCAATGCACTTCCTTGACAGTTTTGATCCACAACAAAGAAGAAATTGAGAAAACTGAAAGAAGAGCTTGATCTCACGGCTTCTAATCCCAGAAAACCTGCTCTGATACCATGTTTTCTGGGTGAAAGATATCAGAGAAACAGATGAAAGAGAAGAAGAGAGAGGAGAGAAGAGAGGAAGAAGAGTTTTGGGGGTCAAAATCTCAGGCCGGCGGCTCCAGCTTTTGTATTTATATTAGAGCGACCCAACTTAATAACAAAAGAGAAAAGTACAAATATGCCCCTGAGGCACAAAAATAGAAAAAACACAGAAAAAATAACATAAAAACTAATTGATTTTAACAGTTGCCAACTTGCCATGACATATGTAATTCATATTTACTTGGTGATTTTCTTTTTGGATATCTGGGCAATGCCTATTTTTGTGTGCTTTCTTTTAGGTTGTGTTTGTTTTGAAGGAAAAAGTAGGGAAAAGAAGGGAAAGGTAGGAAAATCTTTACAAACCTTGTATAGGTTTCCCTACCTTTCCCTATTTTTTCCTTCAAACCAAACATAGCCTTAAATGCTAAAAATGGTGAGACAATTTACCTGGTGCTTCTTTTTCATGTATATCTCTTTCATATATTTACTTTTTTTTATTTCAGTTGTCTCTACTTTACTCAATTTTGTGAGAATGTTTGAACGGGCCCATGAGGAAAACTGCAAGCAACTTGAACTTGAAAAGAAGAAAGCACAGAAGGAAGCAGAAAGTGACAAGAACAAGACTGGTACTCCAAAAATAGATTCTCAAAACTCATCAAGAACAACCTTAAACAGTGGCAAAGCCACATGACTTGTATTTGTTAATCAGCAGAAGCAGTTTCTGTTCCCAAGGGAAATTTTTGTACTTGATCCAAATGAAGAACTGAGATGACAAATCAGAAACACCAATGGAAAAGGTTCTGTTGATGACAAGAAGAATGCCAATCTGATGGTGCAGAGAATAATTTACAAGTGAAAGGAGTTACGAAAGGTGAAACATTACAATTATCTGCAAAGCAAAATGGCGGAACCTGTACTTAGTAGTAAGTTCTTCATGCTCCTGACCCCAAGAAAACCTTGGCTGTCCACACTCAATAGTCTGAGCTGTCAACGGGGTTTTCCCTGCATGATGCGCTAGTTCATCCTGCAACGCATCCGGCATTGATACCATTACAAGGAGCCTGTGTGAACTGTCATGCGGGGAGAGACCTATTGACAGCCTAGGCGGTCAAACTTAGCCAAAATTTTGCCATCTGCCCCACCACAACTCCCCTCGTTTATATCATTCTCTAAATCTGAATTCGTTTTTTCTTTGGCAGGGAGTGGGAATAGGTAGTGTAAGTTTTTAGTTTTTGTGAACGACTTGTAAAATATTCACATCCAATCTATTGTAAATATGTGTCCAAATACCTGTCTTTTATTTTATTTTATTTTTGTGAATTCACATTGTTATCTATAATTCTATATTCTTTTTTTCTCTTCCTTATATTTTTTTCTTTGTATATTTTGGAATTATAAATTAATATGTAAATGTTGATAATCTTTCCAGTGTCTAGGGGAAGTGTTTTTCTTTTCTTTCTCTGATACGGTAATTTATTTTCAACAGATTCGGTTTTGGATTTGGTGGCTATGAACTTTTATCTGGTTCGTATTCTTGTTATGACCCTTCTCTGATTTCCTTGCATAATTCATGCAAGACAAGATGAGAAATATCTTATTTGGGTCACATTTTTTTTTTCTGTAGGCAGGTTACATTTTCGTCATTCTTTGGTTTTTAGCCTTAAATGAGACACCTTTCCTCTCTAAGATTGCATTTGTTACCATTGTCACTTCTGCTTAGGTTGGTCAATATAAATTTTATGAGAATATACTTTTTTTCTACCACAAATGCTTTCAGTTATCAATTCAACATTGGATACCATTTCTACTTCCTTATGAAACGTCAAATTTAGTTTTTTTACTATAAATGCCAACATCTAATCTAATGCCAATATTTTCTTAGTGGAATTGATTATTCGATGTGATATGATGATGCAATTAATGAGTGAATGAGGTTTAAATATAAATGTCAATTAATCAGGGTGGAATGTTGGTTGATTATTTCATTAAAATCATCCACGGAATCAAACCCAGAAAGGATGTTGTTTCCAAATCCTACTCATCAAGATTTTACATCTTTGTTCTATGTAGATCCCTTCTGCTTATGATCAAATTGATGGATGAAGTTAATTAGCATTGAAATACGATCTGGCCATTTAGTACAGGTTATCTTATTGTGGGCCTAATTGTATGCTATGCCATTTGATCTTGGATGGATCTGAATAGAAATGCACATTGAGAATCGCATGTAAGCAGCTTCATAATAGTCCTGGAACCGTCTCAGAACTTTCTTTGTGGGGATAAATGCATTAAAGAAATCAAAGCTATATATTGTAACAAGCAGCCCACTTAGGTCATTGATTGTTTCTGAGATGTAATCTGTTGATTTTTATATGAAATTTAGCCTTTGGGCTTTCAAAAAGGAAATCATTTTATTGCATTGATGGATGCTATTCCATATTATGCTAGAGCTGCAAATGGATCGCATTTAATCTGATTTTAATTTGAACTTGATTTGTTTAGGTTGGATTCGGATATCTATAATTGGATCTTATCGGTTTAAAAAAGTAATTGATCTGTTTATTAATCGGGTTGAATTCAGGTAGTACTTAATCCAATCCACTAGTAGCGGTGGTAATTGGGTGGGTTGAGTTGGGTTTGATTTGGGTCAAAGCAATCCATCTAACCCGCCAACCCATTAATGACCCAATTATATGAAATTAAATGGGTTGGGTTCAACCCAAACCCGCCTTTACCCAATCCAATCCACCCAAACCCATTAGTCTTATATTTATGTACTTAAAACTAAAAACTAACTCCCACTTAACAAACAAGTTGGTCATAGCGATGAGTGTAAAACACCTCTTGGGGACCTACGATGAGCAATGAGCGTCCCCTGAGACTTGTGATGGACATAACATGATACCGCAAGGTTGAGACTAGGGATGCAAACGAATTGGAGCATATTCGAATCAGGGTATATTCAAATCYGATCAGACATTGTTCATGTCGGATCCGATCAGATCTGATAGGACTCGATCTAAATTCGAATCCTATCAGATCTTTGGATCTTATTTGATTCGACTTGTTTTCTTTAAAAATTATTAAATTATTAAATTATTAAAATAAAAAATAAAATATACTAATTTAAATAAAGATAAAAACAAAAAATACAAGTATTTTTTAATTATTTCCATCATATATATACATGTTTTAAAAAAAATAATATGATAAATTTATAAAAATATAATATAAATAATATATTTATAAATAAATAAATAACACACACACACACACACACACACATATATACATATATATATATATATATGACACATCGGATCAGATAGGGGCTGATCCGAAGATCCGACCAAGGGGTGATCCGAATTCAACCAAATAGGATCGGATCTCAGATTGGATTGCCAATCCATTTGCACCCTTAACTAAGACAACCCCAATACATTGCCAGTTCCTTGCGATGAATATGAAAAAACAATTCATGTTGTAACAAATAGTGGATAGACCCCAAGGCTAGTGACACCCTCCTGTGGGTGTTTGACACGAGGCACCCAAAGGCGAATGAATACGTCAGTCAAACTCAGATCTTGTCATTGACACTTGGTCATAGGGAAACCCATAAAGGGTCTTAGCCCACACATAGCATGCAAGAATCTTTAGGAGAAAGAAAATTTTATCCTTGGAGGATCTCGCAAGACACATGGCGAAAGACCAATGGTGTCCCTTTAATAACCAACATGAGGACAAAGATCCCCTTTCCTAATAGAAAATGTTTCTTTTCGTGTCTTGCTAATATCCTCGATATCCTCTCTATAAAAAAAAGACAATGCACAACCTCTAGGATTATTAGAATTCTCAACCAAGACTCCCAAGATGCTCGAAAGGCCGAAAGCACACCCACTACCTCAACCTACAACCCTAACCAGAACCTCACTTCATCTTCGTCTTTCAAAGTGACCATCCCATATTGACTCACCACCACACTTACACCCATAAATATTTTCTTAGATTCCATCATGTCTAATTGTCGAGTACAAATCTGCTCCCCACAACAACATCCCAATTGCACATACTTGTATGTTATTATTTATGGGGAGATGTTCCCAATACACGATGGGATTTGTTGTGAGGTTGGTGTGAGGTGTGCTCTGTGAGGAGCAAATCCCAATTCCTAGTTGTCTATAGGAAAAAAGTTACATTTACTAGTACGTTCACACTCATTGGTCACATGTTTGATCTTAATCAAACCATTTGTTAAGAGCTCTAGTGTTGGTTTGTCTTGAATAGGGTATACATGAATCGAGCTTTTCATATATAGGCTATTTGAGCTTGGCTCATGAGACTTGCGAGCTTTTATATATATAACATTTTTTTATTTTTTATACTTATAATAATACTAGTTTTTATAATTCTTAATTTTTATATGTAAAATAAAAAATAATTTTTTATTTTAATAAGAAGCTTGGCTCCTAGTCAAGCTCAAGCCAAGCTGAGCTGAATTGAAGAGCTTTTGAGTCTAATCAAATTTGTGCTTAAGCTCTAACTCAAACAGAACTTGAGCCTCATAGTTTTTTGACAAGCCAAGATTAAAAAGCTAGATATTTGGCTCATCTCAGCTCGAATGTGCCCCAAATGATTTTGACTTGATCACCAAATGCCTAGGTTGCGTTTGGTTCGATAAAAAATAAGAAAAGAAAAATCAGAAAGTCGAAGGACAATTCTTAAGGAATCTCACAAATTTTGTTAACTTTCTCTCAGCTTTATGTTTCTCTTTTATTTTGTATCAAATCAAACATGGCCTTAAGGACTTTCTGACCCAAGTGGAGTTTGATTTTCTGTCTCCAACCCTGAATCTACCATAATCATATGCGTYCATGTTAGACCGGTCTAATCCCTCATAATCTTACACTAGAGAACGAATTTGTATGTTTAACGGTGAATTTATGCAACTATATTGGAAATTTCACTACTCTTCACAAATCTGTTAAAAACAGATTTGTACAAAGGGCTAGCAAACCCAAGCAGGAGTAAACAGCTGGCTAGTATTTACTCATGATCAAGGTTCGAAGTATGCAAGTTTCAAGAATGGATGAACTAAGACATCAAGTGGCCAAATGACCTAATTCATAGTATTGGGTTTCATAGCCCATTGTTTTACATTGTATTTGTAGCATATATACATATAAAGTCAAATGGTGGAATCCATTATTTAGATTATGTATAAACACTTTGGCTTAGTTTGGAAGGAGTACAAATGCAAATTAATATTGTAGAGTATTATTTTATATATATTTGTAGTGTACATATTTGCATTTATAGTCTTACCAAACTGAGCCTTTTGTGACAAAATAGTGTCTTTTCATGGATTTCACCTTATTTATACGGCTCAAAAGACTATTGTTTTCATAAGCTTGCGGTTTAATTTATTTATTGGAATGCTGTTTGTCGTGGGTTGCATTGAGCAGAATGGGGGTGTAATTCAGACTGTCTTGGCACCCAATGTGTTAAAATMTCAACCCATCTCAGTTTGTCAATAAGGTCACATTGTCTGTTTGGCTCAGACAGAAATGAAAATGAAAATTTAAATCAGTAGCAATGAGATTTTATTTTTAAGGAAGGGGCAAAGAATATTATTCCTTCAAATGGAGAATATCATTCCATCAAAAATGGAAATAGAATTCTCATGATTCTACCCAACTAAACAGTTGAAATCAAAATAACCCATTCCAATTCCAATTCTAAACTCCTATTCCTACAAATCAAACGGAGCCTAATTCCATCCAATTGTGATATCGAGTTGATTGGATTGACTTTGTGTTGGAGTTTTATTAACCAAACTTACAAACATATGCATATCAGGCTAAGGGTGAAATTCGGGTTGACCAAAGTAAACATTTACACTGTTTCGAATTTGAACATATGGGATGGATCCATTCAAATTTTATTAAAATTCCAACCTGAGTTCACCCAAATTACATCTCCAGACATGGACTATTACTTGGCGTAATGGTACAACTTCATGTTGGAAAGCATGAAAACATGGATTGGAGTATGAAGGCTTATTTTAAAGTCAATATATATGCCACTATGAGCATAATTACATAACTGGATACAATAAATCAATACGTAAACATATAAATATATGTTTTTAAGAAAATAATGTATAGTTACAAATTAAAGCATGATACATCATATATTGGTTCGGGTTGGAGTTTTTCAACCTTAACCCTAACGCTAACCCACATTTCAACTGAGTCCAACCTAAATCATATTTTTATTATATCGGGCCAAGCCAAATTGCTCCCCTAGAATCGGTGGAAACATCTTTTGATTAGGCTTTTAAAGTGTTTTAATTTTTTATTAAAAAATATTACAATTAAAATATGATTATAGGAAAAAAATATTCTACCTTTTTAATTTGTTATTGTTCAGCATTAAGTAGAGGTTTGGCAAATATTTTTCAAATAAAAAAAATGTTTTTGCAATGATTATTAACTTTGGGATATGGGAAAGGAGGGGATTCTTGAAACGTTAAATTTTTGTTTCCTGAATTGCCCTCATGACATGACACATTGAAATTTAAAAAAGCTGACTAGTTTTTATACCGTTGTCATTATAAATATAATATAATATTAAGTCAAATCACTTTAAATGTTTAATCAATCTATATCATTTTTCTTAGAAAATAGATGAAAAAAATCACTTGTGAATTATGGTCCACTTGTGAAATGCTCCGGTGCCAAAAGTCACCTAAAATAGTGTTTCTGATAATCGACCTATGGACCATGGTGAGCCCAATTGAGATGGCCTACGTTTGGACTGGGCTTCTACAAACAAGCAAATCATGTTGAACATTTGTTCCAAATAAGTCACTTAGAGGGTAGTTTCATCATGGGTAGAGACATGGGTGGTGGCATAGGGGAGCCATGGCCCACCTATGCCTTAAAAATCCTCACATAACTCATTTAAATTCAATATATATTTTGGTTCCTATTCAAGTTTACTAGTTTTGGTCACTTCAAAAAAAAATCCTAGTTCCACCCTTGAATTTCATACTTTAGTAATTAAGGCCCTGTTTGCTTTTCAAGAAATTATTTATCTAGGTAAATGCATTTACCTGGGTATTCTTTTATTTCTAAGTAAATAAAGAAAATGATTATTTTAACCATAAAAGGTCATTATTAAAAGGGGCAATTTATCCCATCCAAGTATTGGCACTCATGGTTTTAAAAAACAACCTAGAAATGGAACCGTTCTAGCCACCGAGTTCTAGGTCGATGGTTTGACCGTCTGATTCGAACGGACAATCCGTTCTAACAACAAAAATTTTTAAAAATTAAAAATAAAAACAGCCAAAACCGTTGAATGTGTCGATGGGTCGACTCGCTCGCACAAGTCAACAGGTCATTGACCGATTCAACGATTTTTTGCTAGAGACCAATTCAACAACGGTTCGAAAACCATGTTAGCATTTAACCACCTTAGAGATTAACAAGTGATGTCCGGGGAACATAAATTTTCCATGGACCCCAAATAAATTTGAAAGAAGAACATGAATGTCTAAGGGTTCAACTATGATACTAAAAAGACATAATATCTGAAAAACTTATGACCAATCTACTTAAATCATAAACATGATAACCAGTCAAGTGTCATTTATCAAAATTCACGGGAATTCATGAGTGTATTGTAATTGGTGAAAACTTTTAGGAGAATGAATGTTTAGCGCCTCCTAGAATTTTTAGCCTTATCCTACAGGTTGAATGAATCTCAACCATGAATCGATGTCAAATCCATGGATAGGATGCAATTTATAAGGGGGCTACTAGTAGACTATGGAGAATGTAATTTCAGATTTCTATGAGTGCAATGTACACTTCACCGAAAACTTTTTCTATACCGTATCTTCCCAACATCATAGATTTTCCCAAATCTTAGTCAATGAAAACCAAAATTTCGTTGACACACTTTTTCCCTCTCAAAATAAAATAAAACAAAACCGAATACCCCTAGATGGTATTCAATTCCCCACATTGATTTCGGTTTTATGGATTTTCTCCAACTACAACTTTTGATGTTTATATGGCGGGGCCCAATTTAGAGGGCCAGAAACCGCGTCCCAAAAGCTCTCCTAAATGGGTACTAGAAAGTAGAAACCGAAGGCTGCCGATTTATTTATATTTCTTTTGACGAGGGTGTGTGAATCAACAGAAACGATTTATGCCTGTTTCTGCTACAATGCTGTATAACTTATTTTAAATACATTCATGCTAAACAGCCAAACACCTTCTAGGGTTCCATCATCCAGTACAACGGTCACTTAGCTGCCTTTTTTCATCATCCAGTACATCTACGCCTATCTTGTCTGTGTAACCACTTACAAAAGGTAACGAGGAAAGGTAAAAACAAGAGTATACCAATCTAGTGGTTGAGATCACTCGATCAAAATTTTCTTGGCAAGCCTCTGCTGACCAAAATCTTTACAATAGGATTTGGTTCAACCCGAACCCGACCAGGCTGAAAGAAAGCTAACGAGCCCGCCCCATTTCATATAAAATACACCATGCTCAGCCAATCTTATCTTATATACAAATATTTTGATTTTACAATGCCAGTGGGTCGTCGGATTCATCATCATTTAATCATTCATCTGTTCACCTCAACCCGAGCCCGATCTGGGAGGGTTTACCACTTAACCCGACCCACTGACATCCCTACTCACCAGACGGCAACCTTCTTCAGTCTCTTAACTTCAGCTCCCAGACAAGTGTATTTAGCATAGAAAAAAGCCCCCAGTCATTCGAGTATTCCGGAAGCTCTCCTCCCCTACGCTGCTAGGCTCTCTGCCTCTCTCTGCTAAATTCACTGTCGTCTTCTGCTGTGAGAGACTAATGAGTCAAGAGTTTTGAGTACCTCGGAAACAGAGCTACCAGAGATCCATCGATGCAAAGTGAAGAGAACAACTAGAGCTGTCCTGTAAACAAATCAGTGAATCACCCATCTCCACCATTTTTGTCCTTTTTCCTGAAAACTGGATCGAGCCTTGTAGCATAATCTTCTCTCCCTCACCCATTGCTTCCTCAGAATCGCAATGCTTTCTTCAGCCAACCTCTCTTGCTTAGGCTTCGAGCGTTATCAGTTCTGATTGTTTTCTCAGTGTGCTTGATTGAGGCTAAGAGTTAGAGTGAGTGCGTAGAGACTCGGATAAAATGGAGAAGATTCAGGCTGCTAGAAGACGGGCTGGAGCTAGAAATGTTGTTGCAGGTTCTGTCTGGGAAAGCAGAATGAAGAGCGATGAGGTGAAAGGTGGGATCAAGGTTTTCACCGGTGAAGAGAATTCTGAAGAAGTTGGTGGCGGTGGCAGTGAGCGTGGTGTTCAGGTTAACAGACAGTTGAATCGGAATCAGAGTGGTGTGGAGCGTGGGAAGAGGAAGACATGGAAAACTGAATCCTTTGACGGATTTGAGAGGAGCCCATTTCAGATAAGGAAGACGAGATCTCAGTCGCATCGATTTTCTGGTGAATCTCTCAGTTTGTCTCTTGATGGAATTGATAAAAGCCTAATTCAGTTGGGCAGGAGGCCAATTCATTTAAGGAAGGCAAGATCTGAATCGAATGGATCTTCTGATGAATCTTGTAAGGAGCTTGGTGTGTCGGTCGATGGAAATGAAAGTGGCCCAATTCAGACGGGGAAGATTAGATCCGGGTCTCCTAGGGTTCCTGAAGAGACTTGCAAGGAGAAGACGATTTCAGTCAATTTTAGCGATGTGGCCGAGATCAAATCTCCACAGAAATTTGTCGTGAACGATGATGGTGTTGATGGGGATGAAGAAAATGATTGGGGCGATGAGGAGGATGATACAGAGATGGAGATAGAAAAGAAGAGCTTCGATGTCAAAGAAATTAAGATGGAAGAACAGAAACCCCAGAAGGTTATGAATGAGGAGAAGAGAGATGATCAGGTCGATGTGCCGACATCAATACCCATCTCTGAAATTGTGAATAAAGAACCAGCTTCAATTGCAGAACAACCCCTAACTGTTCAGAGTCCCATAGAATCCCAAAAGGCTGTGAACGAAGAGGAGAAGGTCCAACAGATCCCTGAAACACCAAAACCCATTTCTGCAAATGTGAATAAACAGCCAGCTCCTGTTGCAGATCAACCTGTAGTTGTCCAGAGTCCCATAAAATCCCAAAAGCATGTCAACGAAGAGGATAAAGCTCCACAGATCAATGAAACACCAAAACCCATCTCTCCAATTCTGACTAAAAAGCCAACATCACCTGTTGCAGACAAATCTCTAATTTCTCAGAAACTCGCAAGGCTCAAAAAGGCTATGGATGAAGAAAATAAGCTCCCTCAAATTCATGATAAACCAACAACCCTATTTCCAAATGTGAATAAGCAGCGACGCTCTGTTTTTTCTCGTCCTGTAATTAATCATGATCTTAGAAAATCACCATCAAGTTAGTAATTTTCTTGGTAGTTGGTACATTATAGTGATATTGGTTCCCCGTTTTGTGTATACACATTTTTTCTTCTTGTTTCATATCTCACTATCGTTTGGCCTTCTATGATTGCAGTTTCAGAAGTATACAGGAGTAACCCACAAACCCATAACAAATTACAAAGCATTGGTAAGTTCTAAACTTCTGATTTCAATGTGAACTTCCTTTTCTTTGCCCTACACTTCATTTGCTAAAATTCTCTTGTTTCTCACTTTTCTTCTTTTATATTCTTATCAATAATTCAGTCGATTTGGTAATGTGGAGAGACATCCCAAAATCTGCATTTGTTTTTGGAATTGGAACATTCATCTTGCTATCATCCTCCTTCTCTAAAGACATTAACTTCAGGTAACCAAAGAAAATTAGACAGCATTTCTTCACGAATCTCCTGTTTTAACAGAGCCATAATTACTAATTCTCTTGTTTCTCACTTTGCACAGCTTAATATCCGCAATGTCTTATCTGGGTCTCATCTATCTTGCTATAATTTTCGTCTACAAATCAATCCTCGGCAGGTAATCTCCCAAACCCATAACCTCAAGGAAACAAAAAAGTGACAATTTCTTTTTAATCTCACATATTTTCTGCTGGCTTATCAGGGGAGCTGTAGATATAGATGATTCAAACCATACATTTATTGTGGGTGAAGAAGAGGCAATTTGGCTAGTAAAGCTGATTCTTCCTTACTTAAACGAGTTCCTGCTAAAGCTCAGAGGCCTTTTCTCTGGACACCCTGCAACTACAATGAAGGTAATACTCTCTCTCTCTCTCTCTCTCTCTCTCTCTCTCTCTCTCTCTCTCTTAAAGAACTAAAAACAGAGGAACTGTGTGAGAATGGCAGTTGGCAATTTTGCTGTTTGTTTTGGCTCGGTGTGGAAGCTCCATCACTGTATGGAAGATGGCCAAACTGGGTAAGGTTTATTTGGTTTTTATTTAATAAAATCTTTTCATGTTTGTAGGGTTTCTGATTCTGGTTCTGGACCTTCTGGTTGACGTTTGGCTCTTCACTGTCTGTAGGTTTCTTTGGAGTTTTTACGGTACCAAAAATTTGTTCTTCTTATTCCACCCAGTTAACAGGATGCGGTAAATATCAGATTTTGTTTTTAATTTTTTACAGATATTATAGTATACGATTGAAGTGGACCGTCTATCATAAGGTCATAAGGTTGAGCATCAATTGGGTACCATAGCGGGACCCACATTCTGGCTTCCACACCTGAGAAGAATCTCTTGGGCCAGGATGCTCTTCAATAGTCACCACCTGATCTGTTCATATGGGTCCTACATACAGGAAAGTTTTGGATCAGGCGATTTCGAGACGCTTGGAATTCATGCTCTCACAAGAAAGCCGTGGCGTTTGGCATTTTTACCCTCGTGTGGAATTTGTCCTCAACAGTAGCCCGCATTTGGGCAGGTAAGGATATCTACGTCATTTCAAAAGAATGTAGGGGCAGTTTTGGCAAGTTGAGGCTTGATATGTTGAGTGATGGACCATCTTTATGCAGTGTTCGTATTAATCGTAGCCCTTAAATACTATCAGCAATCGTTGTTCGCTGAAGAATGGGGAAGAGAAGATGTGGCAGGAGATTCGAGGCAGGAAGAAAGTGGACGGAGACAAGGAGGGCGTGGGCCCACTTTAGTGAAGGTGAAGAAGGCATCCTAAGTAACGTCTGTGCATGTGATGTGATATGATATGATGCTCTGTTGTGCCATTTTCTCTGTTTTGTCCTTTTCTTTGTATATAATGTCGACCTCATCCCCAACTTCACAATCTAATGAAATCTAATCTCAGTCACACAAGAAATGCCAGCACTCAGCAGGCAGCTGTGGTTTTCAGTAGCGAGGACCACAATCGGCCCAGGCCCATTCTTTCTAAATATATCAAGTCAATATAATCTGATCATGCACGTGTGCATTCATTGCTTAGGTTTGGATTCACCGGTCTATAGGTCAAAGGTCAAAAAATAAAAAGGATATGAGATGATCACGACCATTGATTAAACAGAATATTTTATAGAGGACGGCTATCGATGATAGTTCTCCAAGTAAGACTGATTGGTACCATGTATGAGCTTTCTAAGGCTGCATTTGGCATTTCTTATTTTAAGAACTTATCTCCTTTCTTAAAATAAGAAATACCAAATGCAGCCTTAGGCTAATCCAATCCAAGCCCCTGTGAATTTTCATGCGTACCACCGGTTGAGTGGCCGTTCACAGTATCCGTTTATCCAAATTTGAATTCGAGTTCAATAAATATATAATTGGATTAAATATGAATTCATCTTATTAGATACAAAATGTGGTTCAATTTGAATTTAACTACATATATGTTCATATGCATTCGAAATGTATATCTATTAGTTTGAATGTCATCTTTTAGCAAGGGTTCAACTATGATATCGAAAATACATGATATTGAAAAAAGTTAGGGGTGGGGAACTTTGATCCTATCATATTTTTCCAGCAGTATAGATTTTCTCTTTTATTTTTATTCACGAAATACAATTAAAGTCATTTTTATTCATTTTATTAACAACTATTGTAAGGGCACATGTATAAATAAAAGGGTAGAAATGTAAGTTAACATTATATATTTAAATTTTATGGCATGCATCAAAATCAAGACAAATATTCATTTTATTATATATTATAGATATATAATATATTTGATGATTTTAAATTTAATTTATTAATATTATTCTACATTCAATTGCAATTCAAATTTGATTTAAATCTGATATAGTTCTAATGGATAAGATGTAATTTGAATTCAAATATTAATTAACCAAATTTGGATCTACTTGTATCCAATTCAATTTGATCCATTTACAACCCTAGGTCTTTATCCATGTCAGCTTATTTTCTCTCCTTTGCATCTCAAAATTCTCAACCCWTTTGGAATTTTGTGATATTGTGTAGTGTTTCCTTCTTTCATGGGACTACTTAAAATCATCCACAACCAATTCATTTTCCATTTTATTGGAAAAGTGAATCTAAATATCTAATCACTCCCTTACAAAAACATGGGCATCTTTTACACTAGTCCATACATGATATATTGCACATGTTTCTTCTAATAACTTTGTATATTAAAGGTGTTAAAGTGAACTTTGAACTGGCCATTGCATGGGTTTCTTCCAATGTTTTCAACCTGTCATAGACCTAGATGGTCAAACCTTTTGAACCATCACTCGGCCATGATTCCAGGTCTTTTTTTTTTAATTTGGGGTTTGGTAAAAAATCATTGATTTGGTGAAAAAACATCCAACTCAGGCAGTTGAACTATTGACCTGTTCAAGCCAGTCACCTAGTCATGGGTTGCACACTAAGTATATATACAAACTTTTTTGGCAGTAACCCATTCTATCTGAAAGATTGAACCAGTAACCCATGATCCGGAGGCAAAAATGGTTCAGCCCCCATATCGAATTTTAAAACATTGGATTTCTTTGTACAATAAGGTGTCAAAGTGAACTTTGAACTGGCCCTGAGCCATGAACCCTTGGGCTGGATAAACTTTACCTCAGGTCGTCAGATTTGACCGGTTAGATCAAGATATGGCCAACTGAAATAACAGAGCCATCTAGAAATTAACCACTTTGTCAAGAGAATTAACAGAGACGACCAAATGAAGAGCAAAGCATGATTTGAAGTTTATGGATAGCCAACATTGATTTTACTATTTTTGGTTTATCACTTTACTTCTATATCTTGCAAAAGTAATGTATGTATTTATAGTAATTTGATCCCTAAAAGCTTTCTCTTAGTGGCCTCCATTTGCCAATTACCCAGTAGGCCAGTAGTTGAGATGTTCACTCGGTATCTCTCCTAAAACAAAAGCCTGATTTCATATCCATGACGACTCTACTACACCTACCCACATGATATGACAGTCACACATGGGGAACATTTCATATTTTTACATGCTCTTATGTATGGAGAGATGTTTCTAATATACGGATGTAGTATTTTGTGGATATGTAAGATGTGTGGTGTTAGATTAAATTGGTAGGGTGTTGGAATGTGTTTTATTGGCAGGAGATCCCAACTCGAAACTGTATACTCTCTATCCCCACCTCCTAATTCCCATCTACTATCAAAAAGTTGGGCTCCATTTGGTTGCATTTGAACTGGCAATGGAAAATCAAAACGAAAATTTCCCAAAAACTGGGTACTAATTATATAAAGTAATGGTATCACTCCTTATTTTATTTGCAAGTCATTCTCCAAACAAAGGTTGGTCGTCTCCATCATATCTTGTTACACAAACATTTCTCCACTTCACAGGTCCAGGAATAGTAGGAACATAATTAGCTTTCTTATTGAATATATTTTCCAGGGAAATCATTTTCTTTTCTTTTTTCTATTTTATATACAACCAAACAACCATAATGGATTTTGCTTTGCTATGATTTCAGAAATTTTCATAAAAGACCTCTATTCTCTTATTCTTGAGGAACATGGTTTAAGTTTTAAGGGAAGGAAAATCCCAGCTATTTTCAAAGATATCATAAAAAATAATCCTTCTTTACAATATATGGCGAATACTTGCCTAAGTCATCCCATATTTTCTTGGATACACTAGTGTAAGAGCACATGCCATATACATGTGCAAGATAAAAGGATAAAAATAACAAAAAATCTATGATATTGAAAAAATGTGAAACTGCCATACCATAAAGGTTTTGGCCAATCAAAACCCCCTGTAAATTTTGATGAAAATACACTTGATTAGTAACAATTTTTATTATGCTAGTTGATAGGTTATACTTTTTTTCCTATACCATTTCCAGAATCATAGTTGAATCCAAAAATTAAAAACAAAAAACCTTTTGTGTGTAATTTAATACAAATTAAATGATTTTACTTTTATAATTTTCACGGGAATCAAGGAAAGTATCTACATATATGTCGCAACTTTGACCCCATAGAGACAACGAAGTGATATACAATAGACCCAGTTAGCAACTTAGCATGTTAAGGAATGCCAAGCGACCAACTGAAATATTGGATCATCAGCAAGACATCAACCATCCCAAAATTTTGGTCCATTTGTTTTCCTATTTTTTATTACTAGTAAATGTGGACGTGCTTTGTATATTGAAATTTTAAATTACAATGATAATTATTATCATCACCATTATTACTATTACTATTACTATTGCTATTACTACTACTATTATTATTATTATTATTATTATTATTGTTGTTGTTGTTGTTATTATTATTATTATTATTATTATTATTATTATTATTATTATTTAATTTTGTATTCCATTTTCATCATAAATAAAAATATTTTTATTTTAGCAATTTTTATTTAATATGGTGAATATATAACATTAGAAATGTCCCCAAATGTTTTTGACAAAATTGTATACTTTTCATTTTCTGTGTTCTATCTTTTTTAATATTTATTATTCATCATTAATAAAATTATTTCTTACATTTCATACTTAATTTTATTTAGTATAATGAATATATAATATTAGAGATATGCCCAATTCCTTTTTTTTTGTATTTTTATATATTATTTATTTTGATTTTTTATTAGTTGATTATGGCATTATTGATTAACCCATTTGAACCAAATGGCTGAATTGCTTACCCACACACTAGGAGGGAAGAAAATGRTTTTATTTTCAAATTATTTTTCAAAATATTTATTTTTAAACTATTAAAATCAATGTTGTGGATTTAATTAATAGAATTTAATGATGAGAAAAGTATATCTTAAATATAGGACTTAATGAGAGGATATACCTTAGATATGAGACTTAATGAGAGAGAATAGGAAAATAATTTTATTTCCAATTGGTTTTAATTTTATATTCCATTTTCATCATTGATTAAAGTATTTCTTATTTATCATACTTATTCTTGTCTAATATGATGAATATGATATTAAAGATGTTCCCAAAATTTTCTTTAATTTCTTTTTTTTTTGCATTTTATCAAGTTTTAATTTTTTATTATTTAACTGTGGCAACAATGCAACATGGGTTGGCCTATTTGACCCAAAATTGTTTAATTTCTTATCATCACATTAAAATACTGCTTTTCCAAGTCAATTCCAAAACCTCCTCTATAATTTAACTTTAGCAAAAACCTCCCTTCTATTTTCAAAAAACTCGACAAAAACCTCCATTTTGTCAATGACCAAGACAGAAAATGTTAAACCAATGATATTTTTCAAAATACCTATTTTACCCCTGTACGAGTTATTGTATACCTATTTTACGAAAATACCCTTTGCCCTCTCTTATTATCCTGGTTCCTCTCTTATTACACAATCTGAAGAATGGGTGAGGAACGAAGAAGAGGGGCAACTGGTTCCTCCCCTGAAGTTCCTCTCTTATTACATAATCCGCTAGAAGCTGATTATCCTCTTCTTGAGAGTCTTCATCTTGGCTCATGCAAAACATATATGCAATTGACAAACGGCCTTGACAAGACGAATCCATTGAAATAGATTGTCTGATCTTCTGAAAGCCTTCATCCCTGATGATCTCAATTATTGTGTCCCTCTGTTGGGCATCCCCCAGATCACTCATAGTCCGTAAGGGTGTCTTTGGAGCAGCTCGGCCATCCTGGGTAGTCTCTTCTCCACTATCCCTCTCTGTATCTTCTATAGCAACCACTATGATACAATATTTGCATGTGCCCACATACTTCTTCAGATCTAGCTGTGAATATTACCTTGGACTTGTTTGATTCAGTGAGAAGAGGAATTCCAACATCCTGCAAATCAACTTGAGCCCATATGTCATCCAAGAGGAGCAAGAACTTTTTCTGTTTCAGCAC